TGTGGGCTTGAATTCTCAGCCTGATGGAGTTCATGTGGCTCTAAACTAACATTACTATAATTAAATTTTAATTAACTGATTTAAAAAAATTTAAACATCCAGAAGACACAGTGTCAGAAAACTTCTCTTTATACTTAAAAACTTATAATCTAGTAGCTTGGTTAAGACAAAATCCCCAAATTTACACACAAGATCAGAATTAATAAAAATGTTTATTTCTACATTTCTAGATTTTGGTTTGATCCAGAATGAAATAAGTGGTTAACTTGAAAATCTCAAGTTTTTGTTAACCAATTGGTGGGTTAAAAAAAAAAAAATTCAGGACGCCTATGCAGAGACATAGCATGAAAACATTAATAAACAAAGAACAGATCTTTGTCATTTTAATGATTTTAAACTTACAGCATGTGCCCATTGCAGGAACTTTGGACAGACAGGAAAATATTTCTGTCATTGTGATTTTATATGACAGTGAATCTGAGACTGAGTATTTCTGCTCTGAGACTGTGTATATGACTATTGTCTTAGTTGTTATCTAATCTGGAAAAATGTCAGGAAGCACTTGAGCTATTATGCTGACAGAGAAATCTTTCAAGAGATGGGACTTGAAATGCCCTCCTAAAGTTTTGCATGTATCTTAAAGTACCAAGTCCAGCCTAGAGTTATTAGAGCTCATAAGATGCTATCTTGAGTGTCTATTTCAGATTTGCTGAAATATGCTAACGAAGGCAAGGACCTAGAGCCTGACGTAAAATAAAACCATGTGGGTAAGAGTTCTAATTCTTCTTAAAGAATCAAGATTAATGGCTGTATGTTTGAAAAACAATGCACTCAGTTGGAAAGGAGGACATTCTTGTGAAGGTAGTGGACTGAACTAATGAGAATAGTTCCTTGTATTAAAACATATAAATATTCGGGGAGCCTGGTTACTTCAGTAGGTTAAGCATCTAACTCTTGGTTTTGGCTCAGGTCATGGTCTCATGGTTTTTGAGTTCAAGCCCCATGTCTGGCTTTGCATTGTCAATGTGAAACCTGCTTGGGATTCTCTCTCCCTGTCTCTACCACTCTCTCTCTCTCTCTCTCACTTCTTTTCTCTCTCTTAAAATAAATAAGTAAATTTTTAAAAAATTCTAGTTACTGTTTTAAGAATATGTAATTAATCAAAAGAAGAAAGCAATCAATTCAGTTACAAGGAGAAAAACAGATGAAGTAGCACCGTGAGTGGGAATTAAGGCCAACATATCAGGGGGTATCAAAAGCTGATATGCACATAAGTCCAGTCAGAAAATTAGTCATGTCCTGGACCTTCACATTCAGCGCATCTCACAGGGAGATGAAATTGAGCATCTTGCATTAGATCAACATTGAGGAAATGCTGGCTTATCTTTGACATGAGACTATAAATATTTATCCCAGTGGCTCAGCTATGAAGTGAGGAAACGATGCTTATTAATCAAGAATGAATTTACAACACTAGATAAAAAATTAATCTTATTTTTGAACTTTTAAAAAATGTTTTTTTTTTTTTTGAGAGAGAGACAGAGTGGGGGAGGGGGCAGAGAGAGAGGGAGACACAGAATCTGAAGCAGGCTTCAGGCTCTTGAGCTGTCACCACAGAGACTGATATGGGGCTTGAACTTACAAACTATGAGATCATGACCTGAGCTGAGGTTGGCCACCCAACTGACTAAGCCACCCAGGCACCCCTTATTTTTAAATTTTTAAAAGTTTATTTATTTATTTTTTGAGACAGAGAGAGAGAAGAGGGGAAAGGCAGAAACAGAGGAAGAGAGAGAATCCCAAGTAGGCTCCACACTGCCAGCACAGAACCAGACACAGGACTTGAACCCACGAACTGTGAAATCATGGCCAGAGCTAAAATCAAGAGTTGGTCACTTAATCGACTGAGCCACCCTGGCACCCAAGATCAAAAATTAATTTTAAAAAGTGGTCAGAATGTAGACAAACTATCTGGATTGCAATATATAAATAAAATATTTTATAGGAAGGCTTTGGCTTTTCCTTCCAGGGCTCTCAGATGAAACAGAAAACAATAATAAACAGTAAATAATTTACAAAGAACTAGAGATAATAAAGAATATGAAAGAAATTTTAAAATAAGCATATTTAAAATGTTCAAAGTGAGTGGCATCTGGGTGACTTGATTGAGCATCCAACTCTTGATTTCAGCTCAGGTCATGATCCTAGGGTCATGGAAGTGAGCCCTGAATTGGGCTCCATGCTGGGCATGGAGCCTGCTTAGGATTCTCTCTCTTTCTCTCTCTCTCCCTCTGCTCTTCTTCCCCACTCACTCTCTCCCTAAAAAGATAAATCAATATATTGAGAAAATAAAATGTTTAAAGTGAAAAGTGTACTACAAACTGTGAGAAAAAGTATCACATAAAAAAGCACAAATGTCAAAAACTCTGTAAAATGAAAAAATCTTTAAACAAAAATGTAGTCATTGAATTAAACAAAAAAGGCTAATAAAGAGACAAAATCAAACCAATAATGACTCATCACCTGAGAGAGAATGCACAAACTGGACATAAGAGAGGGAACCCAAGGAAAGGAACGCAAGTCTTGAAACTGGGGTGTGACAGCACCAGGAATCTATTTAATGGTTCAGTCTATTTGTATGCATTTTTATGATCTATACATGTAATTTAGGACAATTCTAAATTCTTTCTCTTATAACTTAATTTTCCCAGATGAAGCCACTGCACAATTTGGACAGATGAAAACTTACACATTGCTGTTGTGCACATTAAGATTGCAGGGATAGATGGGAAAGTGAACTGACCACCTGGTGTCTCCACTGGCGTCTTCTCAGAGACACCTGCATCACTTTGAGAACACTCAGAAAGCATTTGCTCTGAGCAGGCTTGCTCACCATAGACATAGAAACAAGGAAGAGGGGCATGAGTTGCAAAATAGTGGGTGCCTGGAATGATGTCAGACAAATCCTAGTATTCTGCATTACAAGTTATGCGATGATGACCTCTGAAGAGGAGAGTAAGGACAAGAACTTTGGTTAATGGATACGTCCCATAAGAAGATATAGAGTTGTATGCAAGGTGAAATTATGGAATTTTCATATGTGACTGAGTTTCTATGGACATTTTATTATGGGCATTTGACATAAACATGGAATGTTTGATGTTGACAAAAAGAAATAGTAACACAAAGATTTTATGCAAAATGAAGAAGGAGATAGCATGAGAAATGATACAGAGTCTGGACGAGAAAGAGTAGATAGTGTTCGTTAATTGATACTGGAGGAAAAGTGGAAAATTGAACTGAGAAAATGGGGATCTTATGTAGAGATATCTTGTAGACAATCTGAAACGGGGAGTAGAGATTTAAAACTAAATATAGGCCATAGAGATAAATATTAAAGATTGACTATAGAACATACAGTAAGAGAATTAAGCAAAGTGCAATCTCAAGCTTGCAAAAAGGAGGGCAAAAACTATAAAAAAGAGAGGAAAATTAAAAGAGTTGAATCTACGATGAACTAAAAGAGAACAGATGCTCAAGATATGAGGGCTATTGTCCAATGCAGTCCTGTTATAAGAAAGAGGAATTAAAGAGTAGGAAATTAGTTCAGGGAAAGGGGATTTGGGCAAAAGGTAATTATTGATTTTAATCATTAAGTGACCATTACTGACCTTTGTAGAGTGCTTTTTGCAGTGATAAAGGCGTTTCCATTTTTAAAGTTAAAATACTATGCCAGTTATTCCAAAATACACTTGCTCAGTCTTCCTAGGCACATGGTTGTAAGTAGCTGCTGGCGAGACTAGAGATTGTCGTTCTTATACTTACGTTCTTATATTTGAGTGCTTCTTGCTATTGCCTAAACTTCAGTTAAAATAAAACAGACATTACAATTCCAAGTAGGTTTCTGTGTAACCAAAACCTGAAATACATGGCATTGCATTGGTGGTTCGGCAAGCTGGACCCACATAGATTGAAAAGGTAGTGACCCTCATTATGCTGTCATAACTGGTTAACTCATCATCTTGGATGACTTGTAAAGCAGAATATGTGGCTATTACACTTCTTTGATCCCCAACCTCTGGGGGAATGGTTGTAAAGAGCCATAATATAAATGTATAGTGCCTGATTCTTGCTACTTTATGCAAATTACTACAATAAAAAAAATTACCTCTAACAAGATTTTACTTACTTTCAAAAGAAGAAGAAAGGCCAAAAATACAAGGTTTTGCAGAGTTGAAAAATCTACCTCATTTTGTATCCCTCAAAACCAGGAAAATAAAAATGTTATTCAGAACATTCATCAAGACCTCATTTATGATTTTTCAGCCAAGAAGGATTACCTAAGCTTGGGGTAATTTTAAAAGAATTAGTGTTGCCTTTTACCCCAGCCTATTGTATCACAAGCTCTTCAAGTTACCTTCATTTCTCAAAGTTAGAGAGAAATGGTCACACAAAATGAAATCCTACATCAGGCTTTGTTCCTCAAATACTGTAGTGAGGGGAAATAAATAGATGAGAAGTCTAATAACTTTTGAGAGAATAATTACAAAGAAATTATAAGTCTGGCCTATAAAAATCTGATTGTTTCTCTCTAAAACACTTTTTAGCCTCCTAGAATTGCAAGTGCTAGAAATGGTTTATGAAACTGCATCTCCAAGGAGAATATCAAATTTCTTCACATCTGGCCACAGAAGTTTATGGAAGAAGAAGGTTATGGAACTACCAGAAATCAGAGTCAAATGCCAAGGACAACTGAAGTCAAGATGGCTCTTCTCACAGATCCGAATGAATCTCACCAATGAACTTATACAACATTCAACAAAAACTGCCTTTATCATTTCTGCCCAGAATTCCAGCATCATCACAGACTGATGGACATGTTTCTCATTCTATTTTCTATATGGGCTCTTTTGTTCAGTAGCATTTGTTTGTTCCTGTCTTACCTCATATATTATTATTATTATTATTATATATTATTCTCTTTATCAACTTCAGATTCAGGCAAGAGGAAGCTCTGCCTTTGGCTGTCTGCATTGGCATGCCTGATCCTTGATTTCTCAGCCTCGCCTCCACCATCAAGGTGAAGTTCTACAGGCCAAGTGGCATTGATGCTCAGCTGGAGCCCACGTTCCACTTCTGCGCCATGCTCCCAATACCTGAGACTCCAGGAGGCCCTGTCTAAACAGGTCCACATTGACCTCCAGGTTTTTCACAGGCTTTTTATTCATATCATCTTCCCGAGAGTTGTCTGCTCCACTGCTGGCCTTAGCTTAAGCCCATGAACTGGTTAATGGGCAGCTCCTCAGAGGAGCTCTCCTCCTTTGAGGGCACATTGGACTTGCAGGCTGAGGTGTCATACAATTGACCATAAAGGAAGGGTGTGAAAAGAAGGAAGGGCAAAAAAGGAGGTGGGGGCATTTATCTCTGTGTTGCCACATTCAGAGATGGGAAAATAAGTCTGAGAATTCTGAATTTCTCAAAGTGGATGGATGAAAGTTATTTAAGAGTCCATTCTCTTGATTTATAATTTTTTAATATTTAGGTACATGTTAGGTAAGCCTCCATTTGTAATCATGGTTCTGTCCCCAAAAATACTGGGGCAAATGTGTGTGTAGAAGGTGAGGATGATTTGGAGGGCAGATAATTTTTCTATTAGTTTGTAAGTTGCCAGGTATTAGAAGCCACAACTGGACATAATGGATAGGGTTGTCCTTTTGGCACAGATTACGGGCTTGGAGCTGAATGTGGCCATAGGATAGGACGTTGGGTTTTGTCCTTCAGTTAGGACAATTTGAGTTCGATTTGTTAGAAAAAGTTTGTGCTCAGATATGTGGTGGCCACTGGAAGGACTCTGGCAATCTGATAGCTGTCTCCTCCCCTCCCCCCCTTCCATTCCCTTCTTTCTGGGCACATGGCTGCACAGCTGTGAACTACCTTTCTCATTCCCACATTTACATCTATATTTGCTTCTGTACACACATTCTCATCAATTAAATATTAACTGAAATAAGAAGTATTTAAAAAGTCTTACCCTGTTCCTCCTCTCTCTCTCCTGCCTAGGGACTGAAATGTTGATGTGGCAGAAGTTCATCGTGAACCATGCTGAGGAAGGCAACATCTGTGAGGATGGTGGAGAATTACATGGGCAGAAAATGAATCCATAGAAGAAAAATCACAGAGCAAAGCCTCACCTGCTTAGGCTGTTTGGACTTTTAAATTGTTCCATGTGCAAAAGTCAAACTTAAGACATGGTCTTTTGTTTGCTTGCTTGTTTTCCAGCAGTTTAGTCTTTATCCTATTAAAACCACTTAGAAAATATGGGTTGATTGCTATTCTTTTAAAGGGAATGGCTAAACAGAATTGTAATGGTAAAAAAGAAAAGTCTGCTTATTCTTCTTTAATTAGATTGAAGAAGAGAGAGATGGATTGTGTGGAAAAGAGTAACTTACAACATTGTCTTTTTGTAACACAGTTTCTCACATGCTTAAGAAGTATGATATTAATCACAGTTCTAAGAAGAGGCAGGCTTACATTGTCATATGAGGTCTTACATGGATATTTCCTCCAACTGTCAGAAAAATATTATATACATGTAATAGTGTATACAGCACAGGGTATATACATAAAATAGCAAGTATAGATTATACTCTAGATTGATTATATGGTAAAAAGTATATAAAGTATATTCTTTATATACTCTTGTATATAGAGTAGGGTAGATCGAGTAATACTATACATTACTCTCCATGTGCTCACAAACAGATATATTCATATATTACTTTCTACACATTCATGGAGAGTATTTGTTTTCTGAAACTATTAGAAGATTGAATTTTCACAAGTCACAAATAACAGAACTTTCAAGGTGTTCTAAAATTAGATAGAAAATAGTTACTTATAAGAAATCATCCAGAAATGCATCATTAACTCTCTGAAGGTGTAAATAAATCTGACATTTGCCAGAAGCTAATGAGATACATGCTTGCTGTCTAACTTGTCAAGCATTCTTTTTTGGAAATCTTAAAAAGAGAAGCCTTCTAAATCTGAGTCATTAATGTGAGACCAAGTCAAAACATACCAAAAATCAAAACCAGGTTCCTATTCTCTAATGGTATTTCATATGGAAAAGCAAGGTCTCCAATGTTGGCTATATTTGCTTCAGAATCCTCATACTGTGAATTACTGGGTTGACATCATGCTAAAAACTTAGGAGTCAGAACTAACTGTACTGTGGTCTCAGCTACCGGCAATGCAGTAAATATACTTGCCCTTTCTTTTTCCCTCACATTTTCCCCCAGTTTATTCTGTAATCTGTCTCTTTTTAGAAAGCAAAACCCAATATCTCAATTATCAGCTTAGATTTAGACCACTTACATCCTAACGCCTGATAAAATAGTTTGGTCTTTACCTCTCGTAACCAAAGTGGATGGTTTCTGGATTCAACTCCATCTCAGATCTCTTCCTTTAAGGAAATATACTGAATTTTGGTATGTGTGCAGAAAATGATACTGTTTTCACTACTTCAACTCAGAAGGTCAAAGAGAAGAGTATTACAAATGATGGACTACATATCTATCACAGCGTGGTGATGAAGGAACATGAAATGTTATTGACAAATATGAGTCCAAAGGAATATCAGCAAAAAATAATGTGACAATGACATTATAAAATTGCTGTTCACAATCACTGGTGCCTCATTTTGTCTCAGAATTTTGGCTTGTTTATCACCTCCATTATGTATCTGTTTTCCACTTCAGTTATTTTTAATAATTACAAATTACAAATTTACTTACAATTTCCTTCTTTCTTTATGTTTAGTCTTTTTCTTGCTATTTAAATCAGATTTCTATTTCATTTCTATTTTAGCCTGTTTTTTAAATGTAATCACTTAAGTGCAAATAAAATTTTCTTTTTTATAGAAGCTTTTAAAAGTATAAATATTCTTCTAAGTACCATTTGGGTGGCATCCCATAATCTACATCAGGATTATTTGCATTATTATTCAGTATGAAGTAATTTTGCATTTTTATTAATATGGAAATATTACATACTAGGATTTATTTCTCCCATAGTTTTTTTAAGTTCCATGTTATTTTATTGTTATTTTTCTTGTTATGCAGATTTCATGTTCATTACATGATTTTCTTAATATCTTCTATTTTTACCCTTTAAGTGGCTATTATTGAAATTATCATATCTATTTCACTAAAGGTTTAAAATGAATACATTTATCCACCCTCTTTGGAAACAAATAAATATCCTCACAATACTATATCTAAGAATTTCCCTCTCCTGTCTCTCACTAACATATATTATTATTATATATTATTGTCCATTCTTTTGATTTCATCTTATAGTTACCAATAATGGGGACGTTTCACTTTTACAGTTTCAACATGTGTTTTGATTTATCCACGCACTTATAGAACGTTTTTGGTCACAGACCACACATTTTGAATCCTTTTTGTGGGATAATTTTCTTTCTTTCTGAATTACATATAAAAAATATATTAGAAAGAATTAATGGATGGCATAGTTACTGTGTTTTATGGATTTTTTTTGAAAATGCTCTTATTTTAGTATCATTCTGGAGTGAGGGTAAAGACAATTAACTCATCTGTGTCCAACGTAGATTTAATTCTGTGCCTACAATACTTTAAATTTGCATAAAGCTAACTGGGCCTCATAAATTTATATACCTCCTTACATCTGATTTTAATATAATTTACAACCTGAAATTACTTTTAACCATAGTTGGTTTTTTTTTTTTTTTTTTTAAAGAAGAGCTGCACATTTTAGTGGCTTATTTCATGGCTCTCGTGCTGAAGAAATTGTTTGAACTGACAAAATGTGGAAGACAGTGAATATATGGTTTGCAGTGACTGTTGTTTATATTTAAACACTTGTCAATGGCGATGCGGGGCATTTAGTATTAAGAATGCAAACCAGACACATAGATGTGAGGGAGGCGTAAGGACACAATGTAACGTATTAACTTCTCTCTTGCCACTTACTTGAGTTTTAGAAATTGCAGGAGTAATGATCCTACTACAGAAGTTGTTGTAAATGACCAGCTATATCCATGTTAAAGTATTAATAAATTAAGAATAAAAATACATGTCTTCAAAAGTGTATCTAAAGAAATATAAGAAGAGTTCCATGGGAGTATGGCGTGATGAAGTCCCAGGTTATTCACTCAGGACTCACGAACTATTTCATTGGAGCACTTGGGGTCACTGACACAACCCAAAAGAAGCAAAGTGTTTCTTGCTTTGTTTATAGATGGATAGCACTTGGATTTTTGTTCATTTTTTAAATAATGGTGCAGATTATGGTTTTACTTCAGTATTTTTGCCAATAAAATCTTTACAATTTAACCCACAATTTTAATCATGTTGAAGTCCTGTTTCATTGATCGTAATAATTTTCCTTAAAGATACTTAACTGCTCAATATACATTTCTATTAGTGAATTTATTCTGAAACTTTATTTCCAATCAAAACTGGATATACTAGGAGGCAATTTAAAGACTTGAAATGCAATTTTAAGCTTAACTCTCTGTGAGTGAATTCATTCATTGCTAATAATAAAACGACTACTTTATAAAGCTAAATTACTTCAGTGAGCTTATATGAAGCGTTGGACACATAATAGGTCAATAGAGACTCATTATTTGCAGCAGATCTTTTCCAGACCATCATTGGATGTCTGAATACTGTATATACTATGCTTTTTTTCCTACATATACATACCTATGATAAAGTTTAATTTATAAGGTAAGCACAGTAAAATATTAGGAACAATAGGTAATAAAACAGGACAATCATAATAATATATTATGATAAAAATTATGGGGTCTGTCTCTCTATTGTATTTTATTCACCCTTCTTCTGGTAAAGATGTGAGATGATGAAATGGCTACATAATGAGGTGAAGTGAGGTGAATGACATAGGCATTGTGACCTGGCGTTAGGTTACTATTGACCTTCTGATGGTTCATCATAAGGAGGATTATCTGCTTCTAGATTGCAGTTGCCTGCGGGCAGCTGATTTAGTGGAAAAACAAAACCATGGATAAGAAGGTACTACGGTATGTAAGATTTGTTCACAACCCCCTGCCTTTGTACTCACTAATTTACCAAGACCTGATTTATTAATTTACTCGTAGGCCTAAATTCTTGGGATCCCAACCAACCTCTAAGATGTCTTGTGGCAGCTGGGTTTCCCCCTAGGATAATATTTATGAAAAGAGGGGTGCCTGGCTGTCTCAGTTGTGATGCTTTTATCTTGGGGTTAGAAGTTTGAGCCCCACATTGGGGATAGAATTTACTTAAATATTAACTACTTGTTAAGCACTCAAAAGAGTTTTAATTATTTAATCAAACCACAAATGTTGATCCTCTATGAGGTAAAAGACTCACTGATCTCAAGGAACACACAACACAGTGAAGATGCGGGGTGAGTGTTCCACACATCATGTGATCCAGAGTAATACAATATGGTAAAGACCCAGGCGAGCCTAATCACGAGGCTCTAGGAAAATTGCAGGTACTTCCAGGAAGGCTCTTCAGATAGACAAAATCATAGGAAATCATTATTTTAAATGGTATAATTGTTTCTGTGGCTAGAAGCTGATAAGGGAGATTCAGAAGTTCTGTTTTACAGCTTTTTCTATTCCTTACTTGTTCCAAGAAATGAGCATGTAATCTGGTGTTTTAGCTAGCATATTTTCCTCATGATTATTTATTTATGATAGCTTCTCACGCCAAAAATCCAAACCAAACCAAACAAATAAATAAATAAAACAAAAAATAAAACAAAACACTTACACACCAAAACAAAGCAAAACAAAAACTTGTTATTCTTTGGTCAAGAAACTGAATATGTGCGAATGGGAAGAAATATTTGAATCTTCCATTTTTCCTTCCTTGTCCCTAGGCTTGGACAAAATAATAATAACAATTTTACTCTAAGGCTCCATCTTACAGTTAGGCTCCAGTTCACTGAGAGAAACACAATCTTGTTAGAGAATGGGGGGGGGGACCATACTCTGAATCTAAAGCATGAATCAATAATGACAGCCAAGGTATCTGGAGAGAGGAGCGAAGCAGAAAATGTGAGCCGCTGGCTGGGAAAAGGACACGAAAGGAAGAGGCTGGAGCCCTAGGTGGCAGTTTTATGCAATATGAAATTGTTCTGGCTCGGAATTCAGAGTCTAGGGAAAAATAACCCAACCTCCTGAAATGTGCTCTAAGGCTCAGGTATCCCAGGAATCACATATAAAAAGAGGATGTAAGATAAAACTTCACGATTCTAGT